TATGTTTACCTCTAACACCATGATCTCTGAGTTATATGAAAGGGTGCTAGCTTGCGCTCAGAATCTGACTTGCTAAGAGAAACTGGAAAGGCAAGACGACAACAACTTCATGCCAAGTTTGAAGAAATTTTACAGGAGGTATATCTCAATTTGCTACAATAATCATTGAGAGAAGGAAATTTATGTGCTGGTAGTAACAATAATGGATTAAAATGTTCTGAATTTTTCTGGTGATGCAGTTTCACAACTATTCTAAGATGAATTCCATCCTACAAAGGTTTGAGTTGGCAGTGGAGAAGGAAGACTTGGGGCCTGCAAGCACTGAATAAATAGCCACCAAAGGTGCCGTCTCTATGATCATGTCAATCTGTGTGATGTTCTTTGGTTGCCTTTTCTTGAAGTACTAATTATGGACTTGTATGTATTATATCATATTTTGGAATGTAATTAGTTAGGCATCAATCAGTATTAGAGCAACACTATTGTACTCTGACTCCTTTCCTTGATGCATCGACAACGGAGATATCTGTTCTGAGTTCAAGAACATTTTTTCTTCTGATTTCGTAATAAGGTTACTTTTTTCCTAAATTATCGTGAATTTAGGTTTAAATATGTGTATAAAATATTATAATATTTATGATCATTTACAGTATATTTGGTTCAGTGATTAAGAACATCATCACTGTATTAAAAAAATGTTGTAGCGAGAATGAGAGATAATTTTCTTTTTTCTACCAAGGTCATTTTGATCTTTTTCTTATAGAGAGAATGAGGTCTATTTAGTAAAATACAGAAATGCGAGACAAATTTCTTTTCTCTACTAAGGGCATTTTGATCTTTTTATAGAGAGAATGAGGTCTATTTAGTAACTACATAAATAAGAGACATGATCTAAGAAAGATCTATTTTTTCAGAAAAAAATCCAAAATAAAATATAAATGAACAATAATTATATACTTTATTCAGATGTTTTCATCCTAGAATATCAATTTATTTCAAATTTAAGTTAATATTTTTTTTCAATATTATTTTAATCAAAATTGATGAAACATCATAAAAAAAACTCAGATTAAATTTGCAAGTTATGAACTATGTAACCTAGAAAAAACATTTGTCTATAAGATTTTAAATCAAAAGATCTCAAGAAAAAAACAATATAATTTTACCTCACAAAATTCTTACATCAAGAAAAACAAATAATACTTTCATACACTAATTTTTTAATAAAAAAAAGATAAACGAATATGATGGAGAACTATCAAATTCTTTTCTTTACCGACTAAGCTAACACGATTACAATACCAAATGATCCAAAATTTTCAATTTTAATCAGATGTTTTTCTCGTTTTCTTTCTTACCCTATCATGTATCCCAAAAAGACCAACTATGGTTACTTCATCAAAGGGAATCATCAGCATGGTGATCAAAGATTCAATCTTTGATCACTGGGTTTTTAGGCGCAAACACCGCCCTATTTAAGATGTCAACACTTCAGTAAAGCATCGCGCAGCGACGGCAATCCGCGAACTGTTCCTGTAGTACAAGTGGGACGAAGCCGGTGCCCGCATCGTCAAACAAGTCTGCTGCCTATCGAGCCAATTCCTTCCGCCTGTCTTCGCCTGTCAGTCAACCTTCCGCTCCTTCGTAGGCAGTTCAATCGTTGAACTTTGTGGATGTCGGTTGGCCTCTCCTCCAATTTGCTTCCCCAAAGATATTTTTTTGATCTTGTTCAGGGTAATCCATCCCCCGGGGTTCCAACTGTGGTTGAAAGGAGGTTGCTTCTGCCCCTTTGAGGAACTCTTGGCCTCCTGCTGCAATCGCAAGGCGTGGAGATGGCGGTGAGTTCTTTTCGGTTCATGCTGTACGCCGATTCTCCATGATTGTTTGCTTTGTCCTGCCACTTTGGCCATAGCGAGTAAGAAAGTTGCGATCTTGGAGGGTTTTGGTATCGTTCTGTTGTTGCGTTCCTTTTCTTTTCTGTGTGATTCATCGTCTTTGCAATACTTCTTTGTTGCGTTTTTTTATGTGTTACTCTTCAATTTTTTATTTCTATGTTAGTATTACGAGAAGCCTATTGAAGATTTTATTTTTTGGAGTATAATTGGGTTTTGATGCTGGAGTGAGACTGATGAAGTTTTGATTTTTGGTCTAATTATCATAATATCATCCTTTTATTTCATTTGTCATGATAGTTTTTGCCTAGAGCTTTGCAAAGATTACTACCTAATAACTCATGAATATTCCTAACTGAAATGGATCAGATATCATTCTTTGTAGTGACTGTACTGATCGAATTGAAGCATAAGAGGGTTCAAGTTGTTTGGACTGGTCCGATCCTAATTTGGAATGCTGACACTTTTGAATGTTTCTTTAGCAGTAACATCGGTCCCTGTTTCCTTAAATAGCTATCTGTTGTTTCTTGGATTTCATCATTTGCCATGGCTTTTAAGGTAAGAATTTAGGGAATTATGATGTTGCTTGTGTTGATTTCAGTGCTTGTTTAAGTTGATTGTTCTTATCTTCTTCCCCTGAAAAGTTTCAAGTGGATGACACTTCTAATTTTTTATGTGGTATTGAGATGGGGCATGCTGCACTTTCATGTGCATCATGTGGGATCTAGACAGCAATAATTGGAGGAATGCATTTAGAATTTTGTTGCCTAATTAACATCTGATCTCATCAATGCTGCTACTAAATGAGTATCACATATTTGATCTCTGCAATTTGGTTTGCTGCCAGTTAAGGTGGAACTTTCATCAATAGCTTCTTTATGTTAGTTTCGTTAGTTGGATGTTAGTGAATTAGGAGGAAGTTCAAATGCTTAGAAGTCATTTTCTTGTACCTGTTCATTCATTCCATTTTATGAACCAAAACCTTTTCAACAATAAGTGCCAGAGCTTTTATGAGCCTTATATGGTTAGATGTCCTTTTCAGACACATTGACAAACTATGACAAGAAAAGCTCAAAGCTCCATTGGTTCACCAATGAACTTGACATGATTGTTATTGCTTTGGTGTCTACTTTGTAAAGGGCTATAAAAAATAAAAAGTTGTACATCGATTCCTCGTCCATCCTGTCTAAACTATTTGATAGGCTAATGTAGATTACCTGGGAGTGGCATTCTTTGCGCAGATGAGCAGCTTCAACACATAGGCCGAATGCATTTTTGTACCCCTTGTAAAACAGCCGAAATCAACTATTTATTTTTTCTGTTTTTAATCTTCTTAGATGTCCTTTCTAGTTTCATGGGAGATTTGTTTGTTCACTTAGACAATAGCTTGCTTTGTTCCTCTGATGGGTAAATTTCTTTCAAATGTTAATCGTGTTTAATAATTGTGTTTGTTGATATTGCCTGTCAAATCTTGTCTTCTATTGACACTTTTATATATGAAATGAACGATTAAAATGAGTGGATCGAGATGAAAACCTCTGTAAGGGTTCTGGGATTTTGTTCTTGTAAATTCACAACCTTCTGTTTTGTTTTTTTTCATTGTAGCAACATGCCCAACTTCCTGAAGCGTTAAGTGCAAACTTGGAGGCTCCAAATCCCAAGGATGAGCCACATGCAAGCAGAGAAGATGATCTCCGCCAACCAACAGAATCACATTTACCTCATGTTGCTATTGCACATAAGCCCACCACAGAATCCCCTCTTCATAGGCATGGGTATCAACCAAATTCCAGTGAACATAGAAGGGCCGGTAGAACAAGTGGTGAATCTGACAATAGCATGGAGCGCTCTCCACTTCACCCCCATTATCATGTGAAAGCTGCAACTAGAGGTGGTGTATCTTCCAAGGGTTCATCAGTGAGTAGCCATGCACTTGCTTCAAATGTTGCAGGTAGATCGAGAACGAGGACTGGTGGTCGAGGTGATGAAACTGTGAGTCTTTTCTTCTAATAATCAGTTTTTTTATATCGAAAGACCTGCATGCAATCATGTACAGAAAAGCTGTGGGACAGCCTGATAAAGGGTCATCTGTGCCAAAGTTTGGTGAGTGGGATGAAAGTAATCCTTCATCAGCTGATGGTTTCACTGGCATATTTAACAAAGTGAGGGAGGAAAAAAAGAGTGGATCAGCAAAAGCTACCATGATAACAAATGATACAATCTATCTATGTTAATGACCAAGATGGTAGTGGTGGGTCCTTGGTAAGCTGCCTATGCTTGTTCCTATGATAGAATAATTAGAGCTAAAACCTAAATTGGAAGGCTCACTAAGTGTAAGCCTGGTGAAGCTCATAAGTAGACTTCATTTCTTAACTTTTTTTTGTTTTATTTAGTCTTAAATGAGGCTCTTAAAGATTATCAGTTTTCTTATTCGTAATACTTGCTGTGGTAATTTGACTCTAGCACGCAATAAAACTTAAGGTGCTTGACACTTCCTTTTTTTTTTTTTTTGTGAATTTCATGTCCATGTATTATATCTTTTAAGAAATGGAAACATTGCTTTTTCTCAAAGCATACTGGTTTTTTGGTTGATACAGTTTTACTTAAACTGCCCTTTATCAACATACTAAAAACACCAGTATCATCTCTGTGACTATCAAACTGCTGCTTTTTAAGATCTCGTAAAGTGATTATTCCAAGACAGTAGAATTAGGTTTTTATCATGAATTATCTTGTAAACAATAAATTTGTCAATGTCGTTCATGGCAAAAGAAATTTACTAGCAACCACGGAAATGGAAGCATCGGTTTTCTTCATGAATACTCCAAGCAAAAATACTTTTTAACTACTGCATGTGGGGTACATAAATGTCAGACATTTTCTAATTTCAAAAAAGTCTTTTTATATAAATTGCTTTTGGGGATGACGTACACAGCCAACAGCTTATACATTTCTCTCCATTTGAAGCAAACTACTATTTGAAATAGAGCAGTAACAGCAACAGCGGCAATAACATTGTAATTTCCCAACTATTTGAAATAGAGTGATACCAATTTTAGCAAAGTTTCCTTAATACAACTTTATCTGTGACCTATTACATTTTATTTACTCTAATTGCAACTATGGACTTCATATTCGAAATAAACAATCTGATCTAGTTATACTTTGCTTTCTTCTGTCTTTGACAGAGCTGTTGCTTTGGCTGGTGCAAAAAATAACTAGTATTACAAGAAGATTCAGAGCTTCGATCCTGTAAATATCCTCAAATAAGAGTCATGATATTTGCATCTGTTTGGAACTGCATGTTCCTCTGTGCTAGCGTGTGTAAGTACCGTATTGCATCGATGAACATGTTCTTTTCAATTTGTTGAATCTTCTATTTCTTGTTGCAATACTGTAAACGAGCATATTTTATCTTCTTCTGGTGTGATTTAAATGTCTTGTATTGTAAAATGCCTCAAAAACATTTTCTTTATGTGCTCAGGCATCGTAGTTCTGTATATAAGCATGTTCCATGTTTTTTTAAGATTGAGTGTAAATAAGTCTGAAACTTTGAGGCCTTTTCAGCTTCCTAGGCTCCAACATCTTCCATGCACAATTGCTCGAGTTCTTGGCAGGTCTGCATTCATTAACTCACATCATTCTAGGTTTCGTAGGATGCCTCAGATTGCATGTGGCTTGTATCAAGTTTTGAACTCTTGCACAGTGCATCATGAACCTCTTGCTTTATCTTTCCCTGGTGTTGGCTGCAGATATAAGGTTTAGTCTTTAGGATTGTTCTCAGTACAGCAACTATAAGAAACCTCATGATCTAATATGCATAAGATAGGTGTAAGATATGCATTTAGTTGTTTATTATTCATTAGGAAGCAAGATTAGGGCTAAGCATATTGAGATTAGTGTCCACACCTCCAAATTATATTCGAGTAGAAACTAATCCTTTATATATTGCTATGTCACCCAATTACAACCATTGCCCCTTAGATCCTAGCCAATAAGAAATTAAGCAAGTTCCTCCTTCAGCGGTTAGCATGATAATTCCCCTCTCTGAATGCACGAGACACCTTATATTCCATGAAAGATGATAGTATCGCTAATTACATGTCGAATGATACCAGGGCGGATTTTTCTTATTATATGTAAGGTGTACCGAAACCTGAGCATCAGTTTGGACATGGATCTGTTGAATTCCTTTCCTTTTTCACTCTCTTTAAGCCTTCCTATATCGCACCTTCATTATAAATAATTAGTCTGTTGTTTGTGAATCTTCATTCAGTGACTGAAATAAACTCATCATTGTCCCTTGGAATAATCCCACTAAGTTGTTCCTGCACTGAACATTCACCTATCTCGAATGCAGGCTTAAATGGTTTCCGTCAGCTTATAACTAGAAAGATTCAGTCTTGTGGGAAGTGGTATTTTGCTGTCTGTTTTGGAGTCTATCGGTCGACACACATAAATTGTCTAAGTGCATAACATGCATGCTTACCTTTGTTCGCTAAACATCCTCTCATTGAAGATTATCGTCCGATATTATGTCATTTCCTCATGAAACTGATGTTTATCGCAAGAGATGTTAGTTGGTAGGGATGAACTTCATGTGTAAAATTGCAGAAAATCATATGTCAATCTACCACTGCTCTTTAAGTCTTAAAAATGCTAGCAACACGCAACAGCTCAGTGAGAATGTTGTCTTGTGTGAGAACTTCATGTCTTCCATGTAGCATAGCATGACATTGCATGTCAGGTTCAATAGGTCATTATCTCTAGCACTTAATCGATTCTTGCTTGTATTTCCTTTTAGATTAAAAGACAAATGAAATCCTTATTCTA